TAAAATTGTTATCATCTGAAAGCTCAAAATCTGACAATCAAAATGCGCTAAAAATCAAGTTTCTAGCTTTATTCTGAAGCGAGTTATAACCCTTTTTGTATTAAAGAGAGACGCAGAGAAACGAGAGCGCTCTAGTTTCTCTGCGTCTCTCAAAAGGCTACAACTCGCGCAGTTTTTGTTGCAATCAAATCGTTTAGACAGATTTACAGAAACAAAAAATCCTTTATTCAAACTTTAACTATAAAAAAAGAAATAATTAGAATCGCAATTAACAAACTAATTGCTCATTTCTTTCCTTTCGATTGAGCCTTCGATTTCGATTTAACCTTTATTTTCAATGGAGTCCCCTTTTTCAAATACGTCTTCAATTGACGCTTCAATTGAGCCCGACGTCTTCTGATGAACGTAGCCCACATATCAAAGGAAACAGTTGGGAACTGATTGGATTTCTCCAAGAATCTCATCACACCAATTTGAAGCCAATAGATTTGCTGCAAGTTGTCAAATGCGTGGTATCTCTTGGCGACAAATTGCATCGCCAATTCTGTGAACGACTTTTCGGGCCAAATTTCGACGAGACGAGAGATGTATTCGAGACCGATGAATGACATAGTGGGGCCGGTACCGTACTTGCAGTGGACGATTACAGGGCTCTGAAAATTTCAGACTTAAATTAAGGGATTCATCATTTTTAAAATTTCGAAATTCTAAATCATGGAAATAGCTCTCTCGGTTCTCGAGATATGAGCTCTAGAAGTTCTAGCTCAAGAGCCATAAAAGCTCGGAGAAGTGCGGTGGCCTAACTTTCGCAAGTTGATTTTTCTAGGCTAAAGTGGTCTAGAAATGACCTAACATGCACCTAGTGTGTTTTCTAAGTCATTTTTACGCGGTGGCCTAGAAAACTTAACTCGCAAAAGTTAGGCCAATTATGTTGAAATGGCGTAACATGCCCCTGGTGTGGTTTCTAGGTCATTCTAGTGTTGTGGCCTAACTTTTGCAATTCAGGTTTTCTAGGCCATCCTGTCAAAGTGGACTAGAAATCACACAAGGGGCATGTTAGACCTAGGAAATCCATCTTGAAAAAGTTATCATGCTAAAATAGCCTAGAAATCCCATCAGGTGGTTATCAAACAATTTCTAGGCTATTTTAGCTTGGTGGCCTAACTATTGCAAGTTGGGTTTTTTAGGCCATCCTGCCAAAATATTCTAGAAAGCACCCTAGGGGTATATTAGGCAATTTCAAGGTCATTTCAACATGGCGGCCTAGAAAATTCAACTTGCAAAAGTTAGGCCACCACGTTATTAGACCTAAGAATACCCTAACATACCCCTGGTGTGTTTTCTAGGTCATTTGTGGTGGCCTAACTTTCGCAAGTTGAGACCAATTCTAACCACTTTGAGCCAAAAAATGGTGGCCTAGAAAACGCAACTTGCACAACTTGCAAAAGTTAGGCCATTACGTTAAAACAACCTAAAAATATACCAGGGATATGCTAGGTCATTTCTGGCCCCCATTTTTGCATGGTGGCCTAGAAACTCTACTAGCAAAAGTTAGATCACTACGCTGAAGTGACGGCTAATTTAACGCGATGGCCTAGATTTTGAGAGTTGGGTTTTCCAGGCCACTACGTTGAAATGACTTAGAAAAAGCACATCATTGACACGTTACGTCACTTTTGGCCATTTTTTCCAACGGGTATAACTCAAAAACCATAAAAAGTTTCAAAAAATGGGAAAATGTTAAAAAAATTTTTAAATTGAATTTCACGTCGAATTGGCTCTGAATTGGCTCTCGAGATACACTCGTTTAAAGGTGGGGGGACAGGAGATTTTACGGGGGATTTTTGGGGCCAGAGTATGGTCGTCCTCGCCTTTATGTATGCAATCAGGCGCCCGCCCCAGTTTCGCCCGCGTGGCTCAGTCGGGTAGCGGCGCCGCACCTTCAATACTCGCCTCG